ATATATACATATATATATATATATACATACACACGCACACACACATTATATACACACACACACACACATTATACATACACATACATTATATATATATATATATATATATATATATACACATACACACACATGCACACATGCACACACACTTCAGCAATTAAATAGGTATGATGTGATTAATCTAAAATTTCTTGTATCTAGAGATTATGGAACTATCCACCACATGCTATCCATAGTCCCTCATTTATGTTTCTCTAAAATCAGTTATGATACAAAAACTTTCTTTTTTCTACAATAACACTTCTCTTATCATAGATTCATGAAATGTGACTCAAAAGTTTAAGCACAGAGCTACCAGGGGTTGGACTGGATTTGGATTTGTTATTATCAATAATATGTGGAATATTTCATATTTCATAGGAAATGTATCATTTTGAATTACTTACACTAGTAATCCAATATATTCAAAAAAGACAACTCCTTAACTTTCACAGGCACATAGGACAGATTCTCCTTCCTCAGGCTTCTTTTCTGCCTTTGCTCCTCATTTAGGTGTCTCTCTTTTTCTGTCTCATATATTCATGCATGCATATATATCTCCATTTATTTTGCAAATATAGTATAATGAAACAGCATGAAAACATCCTTCAAACATACATGCATCCATCTACAGCCATAAATGCAATCTAGCATCCATTTCATAGTTCAAGTATAACATGTGGGTCTGCAGGAAGTGACAACTTAAGGAATAAAGGTGGCCATGTCTAATAAATAACCAGATTCTATAAGGAAATGAAAGAAGGAATAAAGGTGGCCATGTCTAATAAATAACCAGATTCTATAAGGAAATGAAAGGAGGTACTTCAGAATCCACGAAGCAGATACAGACCATTTTACCGAACAAAGAAGCAGAATGAAGAGATCAGCTCTGAACCTCCAATGAACCACATTTTTTTCCCTCTCCCAACACAAAAAGTCCATTAGAGCAAATGCAGAGAGAATGGGAATGGTCTTCTGATCTCAGTGATAAAAAAAAAAAAAAAATCCCACAAAGGGATATATTTTGAAAACAGCTGTGGTATATTAAATAATTCTTTATTGAAATAAAGGGTTAAGAAACAAGAGTGTTATTTAGGAAACTGAAATTAAATATTGCATAAAAATTAATACAAAGAAAAAACAGAATCCATGTTAGATGGAAATTACTTTATAGTGTAGAGAGTATTTCAGTTCTAACATGGAGGCAAATAGTGACAGAGATGGATGAGTCAACTTTCTGTGGAAAAACCCCTCTATTCCCACCTCAAGCAAATGATTCATTATGCACAAATTTAAGATTTTCCTGGAGGGGTCCCAGCTCACATATGCAATCTAAGTCATAAGGCCACAATGACTTAATGAGATGAAGGAATTCCTTCTGCACATGCCTGAGATTTATACTTCATTTCCTTAGTCTTTAGAATTTGGACCTTTTACCAGCCTGATTTTTCTGTGATGCATACAAAGCAATCCCATTCTACCTATGTTGTAGGGCTATTGAATTTAGGGTGAAGAGACACGATTCAAGACTTGACATTAAGTGATTTTCAGAAAGTTGCCATCTTTCAGTGCAACCCAACCTATCTCAAAGATAGGTTGTTATGGAGATAAAATGAGGTTACATATCCAGAAGCATTGCCTTGAGCTACCAAAGAAAAGGCAGGATATAAATATAATGTATTGTAAAGAAGACCCATGTTTGTCTATGGTGGCAAAAAAATCAGAAGGCATCTGGTAGCACATTTTCCATACAGCAAATTTTATCAGAAGATGTAAGTTTTCGTGAGCTGTATCTCACTTCATCAGATGCATAGAGTGGCTTAACTCATATATGATTTAAACTGGGAGGTGGGGTGGCGAAGGGAAAGTTTGTGCAGATGTAGGTTGCATGTGAGACAGATTAAAAGTACCTCCTCAGTCAATAATTGTAACATGTTAAAAAGTTGTTGTGTTTGTTGAGACCTTCTGAGATTGCCTGGCACCTTTTGATGTGAGTTTAGCAATTTCTCTCTCAATAGTGCTGTTAAAAACTTGTTTTTCCAAAACAATCACTTTGAGATCTTCCACAGAGTATCCTGGGAGGTTGAAATGATCTGATATTACTTTGTCCTTGTTCTGAGTCCTGATGTCAAGTTTCTGTCCATTACTTCTTACTAAACTTACTAAAGTTTTTCCCATTTGTCCTATGTAGAACCCAGAGAAACACTGCTGGCAGACAATGGCATCTTAGAGGAAGAACATGTGAAAGTACCTATAACCTTGAATATACTGTATATTATAACCTACGTTGAGGCCTGTGATTATGCTGTTGGTGTAGATGTGGGGTCAAAGTGGACATTTAGGTTTTTTGCAGGGTCTGATTCCCATGTTGGCATAATTGTCGTTTGTTGTTGCTTATGAGAAACTGGTTCAGGTTGGGTGGGTGGCTGTATGGGTTGGGTGGCTGTCAGTATGGTTCTGCCTCCCCGTGCCTGAGGAAATGTAGTGTTATTGTCCAGTAAGGGCTGTAGCTTATTAATAATGTATTTGAGCGTTTTGAGCTGTGAGCTGTAGCTGACAACCAGAAGTATTCTGTTGTTCATCCACGCTGTGTGTGTGTGTAATGCATGTGATGGATTGATGATGGCTGTATGTCTGTGTTTTGTAATATATCTTGCCTACTCCTGGGGGACTTGCCTAATACCTGCATTGGGGTCTTTTCACCACAAGATGAAGAACTTTCCCTTCCCATTAAGAGTTAATATTATATTGATTTGCTAGTAGTTTTACTGTAATTTCATCTGTTACATTCATTATTATTAATGGTCTTATTTTTGGTTTTTATATTTATTATGTTGCTTTATAGTTTTATATGATTGGCTTGTATTATGTATAATCAATCATCAATCAATTTTTAAGAGGCAACGGAGTCCAGCCTTTCCCAGTGTGAAATACAGCTTTGACTTGACAGTTTAGCTATCTTTGTACAGCAGTTTGCAGCAGCATCATTCAGGAAGAGCTTCAGGAAGAGCACTTCCCATACTGTTTGTCCAGAAA